ATCCTAACTGGTACAATGCTATGCTAGATGAATATAATGCCTTGATAGCTAATCATACATGGGATTTAGTACCCCCCTCCCCCAACCAAAATGTTATCTCTGGTAAATGGCTCTTCCGCCACAAACTTGGCCCCACAGGTGAACTGTCCAGGTACAAAGCTAGATGGGTTGTTCGTGGGTTCAATCAACGCCATGGCATCGACTACGACGAGACCTTCAGCCCGGTTGTCAAACCGGCCACTATACGCATCGTCTTGAGCCTTGCCGTGTCCAGAGGATGGCCGATCCATCAGTTCGACGTCAAAAATGCTTTCTTGCAGGGCTACCTCTCGGATACTGTCTACACCGCTCAGCCTTCGGGATTTCAGGACCCTGCTCGTCCCCATTATGTCTGTAAATTAAACAAGGCCCTTTATGGACTCAAACAAGCCCCCCGATCATGGTACCAGCGATTCACGGGATTTGTCCTATCTCTTGGCTTCAGTGGGTGCAAGAGCGACACCTCGTTGTTTGTCTACAGCCGCGGTCAGGACATGGCCCTACTTCTGCTCTATGTTGATGATATTGTCCTCACCGCCTCATCTAGTGCTCTTCTACATCAGCTCACTGCACGACTAAAGGGGGAATTTGCTATGACAGATATGAGTGATCTTCACTTCTTTCTTGGGATCAATGTCCAGCGGACCTCTCACGGCCTGTTTCTCACTCAGACTCAGTTCATCTATGACATCCTCGAACGGGCCGGCATGACCTCGTGCAAACCTGTTTCTACACCAGTCGACACCCGCGGGAAGCTCTCAGCCACTGTTGGTCCTCCAGCGCCAGATCCCTCCTTATATCGCTCTATTGTGGGAGCACTGCAGTACCTCACATTCACCCGTCCAGATATTACCTATGCCGTACAGCAGCTCTGTCTATTTCTTCATGATCCTCGTGTGCCACACGTCACAGCCATGAAGCGCGTCTTGCGCTATCTTCACGGCACACCTACCCATGGCATCACCATATCACCTTCTCTGACGGATCACATGCGGGCATACTCTGATGCTGATTGGGCTGGCTGCCCGGATACTCGTCGCTCGACATCCGGTTACTGTATTTTTCTAGGCGACAATCTTATCTCCTGGTCTTCTAAGCGACAACTCACCACCTCTCGATCCAGTGCCGAGGCAGAATATCGAGCTGTTGCTAATGCTGTCGCTGAAGTTAGTTGGGTACGCAATCTTCTTCTAGAACTCCGGCAACCCCTGACACGGTCTACACTAGTCTTCTGTGATAACATCAGTGCTGTCTACCTTTCGGCCAATCCCGTCAAGCATCAGCGCACGAAGCACATTGAGGTCGACATTCATTTTGTACGTGACAGAGTAGCCCTTGGTCAGATACGTGTAGTTCATGTGCCTTCTTCCTTACAGTATGCAGACATTTTCACCAAGGGACTACCCTCCATGATCTTCTCTGAATTTTGAGACTGTCTGGGCGTGCGGCGATCTTCGTCAGTGCCGTTGGGAGCATGTTAAATATATTCTTAGTATATTTAATATTTATGTATATTGGTAGCTACCATAATTGTATAGGGTGCATTTAATATTGTTTCCTATTATCATTAGGAAACCTTTGTATATATACACATGTAATCTCCCATAATAATTTATGTGAAAATATTCATTCTTCAAATAGCAAGGCAAGTGGTTGTTTTGCACTGCCATTAGTGGAGTGGAAGATAATACAATGAGAGTGACAATAATTGACTTGCATGGAATGGGGCGAGGCACCAGTATTTGCGTGGCTTGTGCGAGGAGAAGTGAACGGAACAATGCATGCTACTGAATCCTTATTCTTTTTTCTTTCTTCTTTTTTTCGTTTTTTTGCATGCCACCCTCTATAGCTAATCCTTCTTTTTTTGTTGCATGTGTTTTGCCTAACTTCTTTTTCTTCTTTCCAAATCTAACTTTTTTTAAAAAACAATCTAACCCTTTTTTTAACAAAAATACCAATTTATTTTTTTTAATTATCTATGTTGTTTTTTTTCATTTCAGTCTATTTTCTTTATAAAAAAATTTAAGATGTTTTCTAAAACTACAAATTACATATTTTTAAAACTAGTGTTTTAATCCTAGATTATACAATTTAAGTAGATAATTAAACTAATTTTTAAAAAATAATGTTTTCTCTTTACAATTAAAATCTTTACACGAAAATAAAAAATTTATTAAAAAAATGAAAAATAAAACACATAAACTAATTAAATTATGTCAAAAATGTTAAAATTGACAAATAAACAATACTTGCCATTGTAGGGCATGCTACTCTAATGGAATGCCACTGTGTGACTATGCATTATTTGATTGGTTATATTGAGCCACGTCACCGTGTGGCATTCCAGGACACAACTTGCCATTGCATATGCTCTTACTTTTTCAAACCCTACCTATCACATCATACATTTTTCCTAATAATTTATATATTACATCCTACTTTTACCCATCACATCAAGGGTATTTTTGGAAAGTCAACACAAAATTATCACTTCCTTAATTTTAACTTTAGTTAAAATGGGTAACACTTTATGGGACGGAGGGAGTAATAAATAAGCCCCTTGGTTCCCATGACATTGGGGACCAATGACATGGATGACCCAAGGGTCCTCCAGTGCTCCGTTCGTAAAATTTACGGTTCTTACCCCCCTAACCCCCCTTCAATTACACGTACCCCAAGTTAATTTTGACTTTGGAGTCAAAGGAAAAAACTAGCCACTTGATATTCTTGTCCTAGGCAAGGAAGAATCTTGTCAAAGATTCTAGATCAGTTGTCGAGGAAGTCTCTAACGCTTTGTTTTATGATCTAGCAGTCCTTCTACTCTTGATCACACACCTCCTCATCACAAGACAAACCGCTCCCTTTGATCGTTGGGTCATGATTAAATTGTCGCTCTGGTACAAATTGTTAGATAGAAAATATATAAATATAAATATAAATATAAATATAAATATAAATATAAATGAATGTAAACTCATCATCCGGTTTACGGAGTAATTTTCTATATCACCTCAAAACATCCACATTGACTTCTTTAGCTGTCTACAACGTAACATATATAATAATGTTTAATAATACAATAACTTGTTATTATATCAATATTTATTTTATACCCCGGAGTATATGCATAATTCAGCCAATTAAATCCAAATTTGAATTTTTTTATGTAAATAGTTTTACAATTATAGTATCAACTATCAAATCCAAATGGTAATTAAAACAATGCATCAAACATCTAACGGTATGATCAAGAACAAGCCATATCGATCATATCACCTCTCTTTCAATTCTTCTTCAATAATCTTGATATGTCATGCACGAGTTGGTCAAGGCTAGCATGGGACGACCCTCCGCCATTGACACTCTCCCTTGCCAGCCATGAAAGCTTCTCCATTGATTTCTCCATCTCCTCCCTTCTCTTTCCCATCGTCATCAGCTCCCGAACCGCACTCTCGACCGTGACGCGGTCGCATTTGTCTTTAATGTCCAACCCAACCTTCCTCACTTCACTCACCAGCCTGCTCGTCACCATCTGGTCCACACCCAACGCCCAGCATATCATCGGCTTACCCGCGATGATGCTCTCCAGCGTCGAGTTCCACCCGCTGTGGGTCAGAAACCCCCCAATGGCCGGGTGCTGTAACACCTCCTCCTGTGGGGCCCACCTCACCACACACCCGGCCGTTGGGGGTTTTATGAGTGCTGGGTAATTATTGTTGTTGTTGTTGTTGTTGTTGTTGTTATTATTATCCTCACCTCGGACAATGTTTGGTCTTATGACCCACAAGAACGAAACCCCGCTGGCGACGAGACCGTGCCGGAATTCCGAGATTTGTGCCGCCGTTAACGTGGCGAGGCTGCCGAAGCTGACGTAGATGACCGACTTATCCGGTTGCCGGTCGAGCCATTGCATGCAAGTTTTGTCTTCTTCCCAGAAAGAGTGAGAGATGGGTGATTCACCCTCGGCGAGTCTGGTCTTCAGATGTTGTTGGACTGGGCCGATTGTGTACGTTTTTGGACAGTGGGTGCGGATGTGGGAGAGGATTGGGCCGTCTAAGTCTTCAAAGGTGTTGAGTATGAGTCCGTGGGCTTTGGGTACATAATGCATTTCGGCCTTGACCAGTTCGATGTTCTTTTCGGCCCATGGATCTTGGGCCCGGAAAAAATGGGGCAGGTCACGTGCTCTGAGAAGGCCTTCCATGCCCGGTACGCCTGCTATCACTCTGTCCAAATCTTCTCCTAAATGACAAGGAAAATAAAAACAAAATCATTAATGATCCTAGACTCTGATATTAAATAATTTTGTGTAGGATCTCAAGTCAAATGTAGTCAATGAATTTTGAGTAATTGAATGGAAAAAATATAAAATTGATTGTTTTTTCGTGAAGAGTCAATTAGTTCTCTCACATTTTTCTTGTGTGAATATTTTGTGTGTAAAATTTTCTCAGAGATGTTATTATTAAACATCATGATTCTTTTGATTTTGGTTAATTTGTCATTCAAATGATTTGGTGCACCTACGATTTTCTTTTGGAAAAATTTTATGGTCCTACCCATATAACTCTACCTCTATTCCCACCCCAGCCCCCTTCCTCCGGCGATCTAGGGTGGGGCAGAGCTGGAGTGTTGAGACATAATAAGTAAGACGAGCTGTTCTCATATAACTTTAAGGTGCACATGTGAAATGTGAATCTTTTCACACATTTTAATGGGCTGACAAGTAATTTTTTTCTTTTTTGTAAAATGTTTTTTTAATACCTTGGATAGGAAGTTGACCAGCCTGAAAGAGCATAGGAACGGAGAGATAAACGGAGAGGCAGCAGGGGCTGATCGTCTCAGAAGCATAAACCGGAACCCCAAACTCCCTCAGTCCCTCCCCATCTCGAAGACGTACCCGAACATCCCCTCCGCCACCGCGCACGCCACCTCCGACCTCCCCATCATTCCCCTGACCGCCGCCGCCGCCTCAGCTTCGAGAGACCCGACCACCTCCCCCAAGTGCTCCGCGGAGAGGGGGTGGTCCCCCGGGAGCCCGTCGGCGATGACCTCGAAGCGGAAGCGGCCGGGGTACCTCTTCCGGAGCAGCGACTCGATGTCGGCGGTGCTGCGGAGGAGGCGGCGGTGGTTGTGGTCGGTGGCGAGGAAGGTGACGGCGAGGCCGCGGAGGCAGAGGAGCTCGGCGAGCTTGAGCATGGAGTTGACCGGGCTCTGGATGGGGAGGGGGAAGATTAGTACCCGAGGAAAAGGAGGGGGGTCACCTGTCATCATCATCATCATCATTATTATTATTATTATTATTATTATTATTATTATTATTATTATTATTATTATTATTATTATTATGTGGCCGGAGCAAGTGAGTAGATGTTCTCTCATTTTCCTTATTTATACTCCTCAACCAACTTCCTCTGTCAACACTTTTTTCACAGTTAAACTTAACTCTTTTTATTTATTTATTTATTTATTTTAGTATAATGTCAGATAACAGTTTAGTCTTGTTACATCTTATTCGTGAAACTTTTTATGTGATTTTTTATTATATAAATTTTGTTTTCAAATTTTACATCTACGATCAAGTAAAATAACTGAAAATAAAATAAGTCTAGTTCGTAAGTTATGGGACCTTTGGAGGTCATAGTTCGGTGAACAAACACCTCAAATCGAGACAGCCTGTGGAGTAGTTCGCCAAGATTCAGGAAAAGGAAAACAAACACAGCTTTATCGTTTTCCCAACGGCTAATAGTAAGAGCTCCCTCTTTGTTTATGGCGATTAACAAATGATCACCAAGGTTCAAGTGACATTGAACCTTGATGTCTTAGGATGACCTGGGGGCGCTCCGGTGCTCCATTCGTAAAATTGACGGTTTTTACCCCCCTAACCCCCTGGTAATTAATCCCCCCGCCTGGGCCCGACCCGAACACACCTACCCACCCCCTTCAATTGCATCCCACAAGTTAATTTTGACCCGACCTTAGGTGATTGGTGAAGGGAATTTGCCTTACATATTTTTTGAAAGATATGGTTTTATTGAGTATCGTCTTAATGTGCTAAACTTTCAAGCCAGAGGATTTTCAAGAAAAATAAATAAAACCAATTGTTAAAATCAAATCAAACGAAAAATATGGAAATATTGAGTTGAGGAGTACGTACGTGGAGTGCCTTAATCTTCAACATCTTGAAATGTTCAACCATTCAATCCGTGGGACCCCTGCCGATATAGAATCTGGGTGGAGCATGTCATGCACTGGACGAAAGTCGTAAGGGAGTTTTTTCAAACGGTCAGCCGAGATGGAGAGAAATACTCAGTGTTTATATACTCTATCCGACCCGAAATATATTACAATATTCCCTCACATTTTTGTTCTAAAAAGAATTATAAAATCAATAACTTTATAGTGATTTGATTCTTTTACCCTCTCCTTTTCTTTTCTGCCAAGTGCCAACCACTATTTACACTATTTGGGGGATTTGGGGGGTAATTTAGGGGAAAAAATTTTATTTGACTCTTCCTTAATTTCAACTAAAAGAAATATTGTAATCTAAAGTGGGACGGATGGAGTATGAGAAAGAATATTCTCCTGAATGTAAGAGTAGTTTAAGGGTTAATCAATTGAACTGGTCTATTCGGGTTAGTGAGTCAGCTATAATAATATTTAGAATATTTTATTCTATATTAATGTAGATATTTTTAGTTAATAAAACTATAAAAGTATAGAGTATTTAAATTTATGTTCTTTCTCTTTTTCATCTAGTTTTCAATGTCGTTGTTCATATTCTTTCACGCTTTCTATCTTTATTATGATTATTACGCATATTCTTGATTTTTATAGATGATAATATTTTTTAGATACAAATTATTCAATATTTTACGCATATTCTTGATTTTTATAGATGATCAATATTTTTGATTTTTATAGATGATCAATATTTTTTAGGAGTATTATTTTAATATAAAAAATAATTTTACTCTGAGTTATTATAAAAATTTATAGAATAAGTGCACTACACAAACATATTTTCTTCTACAAATACTACGTAGTAGTTAAGCTATGTTCTTTTGGGTTGAAAAACTAAACTTTCAACTTGTTCCAACTTTTCTCAACTATTTTCAGTTCCTTCTAACTCTTTTTAATTTTTTTCAACTACTTTCAATTTTTTTCGATATCCAAAAAGAATATGGTCTTAGAATTTCTTTAAAAATTTATACAACTCATATATGACAGAGACTGTATTCTATTTTGCAAGTCTTTAAAACGAGGTATTTAGTAGCGTAAGTGGTTAGAATCTTGTAATTTTTTGTGCGAGTGTCATGAGTTCAAATCTCACTCTCCTCAATGTTATTTGATGATAAAAAAAGAATGTAGGATCCAAGTCTGTGATTTGTAGTCGGTTCTATCGGGTTCGAGCGGGCTAATTTAAAAGAGGGTTCCAGAATCATTCATGCAACACTTTTAAAAGTTGAAAGACCATTAGTTTAATTTTTTAAGTTAGATTTTAATAACTGGGAGATCGACTCCATTATTTACCGAGTTTAAACAATAAAATTTCGTTTAGATTTCAACAACTTACCGACAGTCACATCGTTTAGATTTCCAATTAGGGATGACAACGGGTCGGGTTGGATAGTACTATACCCGAACCCGACCCGACTTTTAAAACTGAAACCCGAACCCGACCTGAAACCCGACCTTCAAAGCCAAAAATCCGACCCGACCCGAACCCGACATTTCAACCCGAAACCCGAACCCGACCCGAACCCGACTTTTAACCAATAATCAATTCGACGTACCCCAATAATTTTGAAAAGAGTAAATCTAATTTTTTTGTTTTTCTTTTTTTATGTCTCCTTTTTTATTAAGGGATTATAAAAATGATTATAAAAGGCATATTTGATATAGTATCACTTTGTCAAGAGATTATACGGAGTGCTCATTATATCCATAGATAGACTTTTATGTAATAAAATATTCGGGTTTTAGTCGGGTCGGGTGCGGGTTCGAGTCGGGTCGAGCAAAATTATAAATCCACACCCGACCTGACCCGATGTCGGGTTCGAGTAAAAAATTTCGGGTCGGATTCGGATTATTTTATTTTTGGTTCGGGTTCAGATATTTTAGTAGTCGATCAGGTCGGTTAAGCTCGGGTTCGTGTTGAATTGCCATCCCTATTTCCAATTAAATGGGAGCTAGACGTACGTACAGCGTACTCCATTTACCCGCTGGTTCAAAACTTTTCAAATCCAGTTGATTTGGTTTGATTTTACGATATTTGAAGAGATTATATATTTGATTTTAAGAGCATGTATATATTTTTCTAATACTCCGTATATCTAATGTAAAACCAAATCATGAATCTGGACATTATATTGCAGCCTACATTATACTCCGTATATAACAATAAATGCCAAATATATTTAACTCAGTGCATTAATTATTTATTTTATAATATGAAAAATGCTAAATTCACAAACACTTCGGTTACAAAATACATAAACTTGTCATTTTGTGCATCTCACCATGTGAATAAAATGATATTAAATAATTAAAAAGTAAACATTTAAATACACAAATAATAAGTTTATATATTTTGTGATCAAAGTATTTGTGACTCTAACATTTTTCTTATAGTATCGCGACCCAGTACAATACTCCATATTAGGGAATAAATAATTGGACCATGCTACACTTACACCAAAAAATATACCCCATTTGTACACCACAGGTTTGCACAAATATTTCGATGGTTTACACCGACACAAGTGTTGGTGCGTTAATAAATATTCACACGGACACAAATGTTGGTGTGTTTAACAAAAATTAATTTTACACCAACACAAAGTATTGATGCAAAACTGCGGGGTACAAATTAGGGTACAAACCTTAGGGTACAAAAAGCATAATCCTAAATAATTTTGAACGATTTCCTACTTTATTTGAACTTTTAATGATGCATGTTCATACCAAAATCAATACATAATACGACTGATGACGACATTTTTTCATGTCAGTCTTTTACATTACAATTAATGATTTCCAAATAGACTTTCTGATCTTAAATTTAAATGGCTTCAACGTGACTTTTCTAAATGGGAGTACATATTTCCAGTTTTATAGAGTGTGAAGGCGAGTCACAATTTCAACTTCTAAGTGAAGCGGACAATTCTTGGTAGCTTCAATAAATTGAGAAAATATATCTAGTTAGTTTAAATTATAATTAATTTGTGGTTAACTAAATTATTTCTGTAAAATAAATAATAGAATTATTTAATCGTATATGTGTGACAATTGGAAGTTTGTATTTTCTCGATCAGTTGAGATTTCTCAGCTAATCATATTGATTTTTTTACTTCCGGTACAGTTATGTTTTTATAATTCATAATATTTTTCGTTAAATATATTTATATTAAAAAGAATAGATTTATGCAGAGTAAGTTTTACCATAAAGTCCTACATGTGTTGCTTTAAAATTACATATCAAGTACGGGGTGTAAGTTTTTAGTCTAGTCCAGTGACGGACCCAGAAAACAAGAGTAAAATTGATAAATCATGTTCCGTAATCCTCAATAAACCCCTCACCCAACCCCCATTGCCCCACCTCAACCCCTTATGAAGATTAAGAGAATATGAACTATCATTTTTCCGATCGAAATATCATAAATGTCACAATTGGAGTTGTCCTATTATGACAAAAAAACTGTTGTCCAAAGAAGAGTGAAGATACCAAATCAATAACACCTACCAAGCAAATTAAAAAACACAAACATTAAAGTTATGGTTTATACAATTCTTGGGCGTCTTTGGCCATATTTTGCATTGACTTTTAGTTTGATTTGTCCACTTTTGGTGTAGTTCTACCAGGGCTTGCGTGCCTTTGACTCTGATTGGGCCTGCGTGCCTTTGATTCTGTTTGGGCCTGCGTGCCTATGTTCCTCTTTGGTTTGTCTTATGGGGAGTGTCTACCCCTTGTTCGCGAGTATGCCCATTGTATTTGTACATTATTCTTTTTAATACTCCCTCTGTCCGCCTAAGATGTTCTCATTTTGACTTTTGGTGGTTTTTAAAGAGAGGTAAAAAAAAGTGAAAGTTTACCATAATACCTGATGGGTAATAACCCATGGATACCACCCGGTCGGTTCGTCCGGCTGGGTGGTGGTTGAAGTAACGGAGCGCATCCTTCGCAGACCGGGTTGTAAGGCCGGTAGGCTAGTTGGGCTCGATGCTTACAGCATTAGAAACGTTCGCCAAGTGCTCTTATGCGGCCGGTCAGACAAATGACCGGTTGGATAACCAGAGACGTGCTTGACGTGCTTAATTATGTTATAAATACCCCTAAAATCCTCATTTGTGAGGTATGTTTTGATTAACCTACACGGCTTGTACTTTGTAATAGTCCTAGCATTATTAATAACAAACCGGGTTACAGGTGTTTCCACCTACAGCCCTTCCGACTACTTTTACTTAGTGTTTGCGTGGTAATTTACACCATCAAATTGGCGCCATCCGTGGGACATATTACCAAAAGTCATGGCCAGTAACCAGGAAACCGTAATCTCACAAATATCTACCCCCGCTGAGAACGTCACTTCGTTCCCGGGAGGTAGTACCCAGCAAATAACCCAGACTCCTACCCCCATCATCACCATTCCACAACCTATCCCATTCACTTCCCCCGTAAACCCTGTTCCCGTTTTTCCTCCAAATTTCCCCGGGCCCCTGGATCCAATGTACAGCCAGGCTCTTCAAAATTTTGGACATTTCATGTCCATGTTTCAACAGCCAGGGGGATTTTTGCCTTTTAATCCGGGATTGTATCCACAGTCTTCGCCTCAAACTAACGTCATTCGCCCGATTGTCCCGACAAACCTGATCGGGGAGATGGATAAAGTCGGTCCATCCCGCTCTAGAAGAAGCCGGTCCCGTAGGTCACAGACAAAGGTGACCTCGGACGGGGATGTGCGTTCAGTCCACAGCAAAGACGAGGACTGGGACCTCCCCCAGGCACTCAAAAAACAGAAGGGAAAGGCTGTCCAGCCAGAAGGATCAAGGAGATCGGCCTTTCAGAGACTTGGCCATGATGGCCGAAATCAGAACCGATCAGCAAAAGAACGGCTGGGGGTTGAAACCATCCCAGCTCGAGGAGCCGGACGACCTGGTCAGACCAGGCGAACGGAACCACCCCCACGCGATGAGCCCCAGCACAGCCGGGCGCCGCGGGAGGAGGAAGCCGAAAGCCACCCCAGGCACACGACCCGTTCTCATGTTGAACAACCTCGGGATCGTGTGGGCCGGGTCGAGGCACGTCTGGAAAAACTACAGCGCCGGGTAGACCGGGAGGAGAAGAAGAAAATCCTGCTGAACGAATCTCCGTTCACAGACCGGGTTCATGAGACCCCGTTCCCAAAGAAGGCGAAGCTTGAAGTCCCGAAGTTCACCGGGAAGGAGGACCCGGAAATTCACGTCAAAACCCTCCATCAAAGTGGGCGGATGATGGGTCTCTCCGGGGATGAAAAATGCCTGCTTTTCTTTCAAACCCTCCGCGGCCGCGCCGCTAAGTGGTTTCATAACTTACCAGCCGGCGAGATCGATTCGTTCGATGAGCTGGCTGAGGTGTTTCAAGAAAAGTTTAAGGAAAACTGTACCAAAAGGAAAAAGTTCACCTACTTGAGTACGGCCGAGCAGAGGGAGCACGAGGATCTGACGAAATTCCTCACCCGGTGGAAGGATGAAGTTGACAAGGTGGAGGAGATGGACGACAAAACAGCCATGTCCCTCCTTGTGTCCGGGCTCTGATCCGGAGAACTATACAAGGAATTCTGCAGGAGGCCTCCCCAGTCCTACCAAGAGGCCTATAACACGGCCTGGGACTATGCTGACGCAGAAGCCCAGGTGTCATCCAAGAGGGAGGCCGAGCAGGGCCATTCAAGGGGAAAAATTTCCTTGAAAAAGGAGATCACATTGCCTGGTAAGGCAAAAGCAGAAGTCATGGAGGTAAAGCCGGTCAAGACAGAGAAGAAACCAACCGGCGAGAAACAGTGGACGGAGAAGTATTGCTCCTTTCACAAAACTGACTCCCATAACACTGCAGAGTGCAACAGTGTGAAAGGAGTAATAAAGCAGATGATCGAGGCCGGGGAGATTGATCCTGAGTACCTGGCTCAGGCCAAACAAAAGAAAAACCAATGGGTCAGGCCTGAGGGACAGCCGGCCGAACAGAACAAGAAGAAAAAAGCAGCCGGCAAAGAGCATTTACAGGTCATTTACGGTGGACCAGAAGGAGGGGATTCAGCTTCCCAAAGGAAAAAGTGGGGAAGAGAACTCTACGTGGGGACAGTAGCTCTCAATCCCCGGTCAAAACAAGCAAGACGGGAACCGATCACTTTCACTGACCGGGACCTTCCCGCCACCGGAGAAGATCACAACGACCCCCTGGTGATAACCATGGACATGGGTGGAGTCGATGTCTCCCGGGTACTTGTTGACACGGGCAGCAGTGTTAACGTTTTGTACCTGGATGCATTTGAAAAGCTCAAGTTGTGTCGAACACGGCTTGAGCCCTTAAAGACTCCCCTGTCTGGGTTTACCGGGGACTCAGTCGAAGCTGAAGGGTCAATCCTTCTAACTTGTGAGCTGGGCACAGGCGACCAGGTCGTCCAAAAGCAGATGAGGTTTGTAGTTGTGAACATCAAATGTGTTCACAATGCTATCTTAGGCCGACCTGGTATAAACAAGGCCCGCGGGGTAATCTCTCTGGCCCACCTCTGTATGAAGTTCTATACCCCAGGCGGTATAGGGCAAGTCAGAGGTGATCAAAAGAAGGCCCGGCATTGCTATCTGGAAGCTATAAAGAAAATGACAAGGGCATTCGAAGGAATCACCTTGGTCTCCCAAGAAGAAGACCGGTCAAAACTGGAGCCGGGCGATGAAACTGAGCAGATTGTTCTCCGGGAAACCTTCCCGGAAAGAATGGTGAAGATTGGCAGAGATCTGCCCGGAGGGCTTCGAGATGAAATCATCTCAGTCCTTCGGGAATATGCAGATATTTTCGCTTGGAGTGTGGCAGACATGCCGGGCATTGACCGCTCTGTTATATGCCATCGTTTGGCTATAATGGAAGGGAGCCGGCCAGTGAAACAAAAGAAGTGGCACTTGGCAAACGTCCGGAGGGACTTTGTGAAAAAAGAGGTGAAAGATTTGTTGGCGGTCGGGCACATAAGAGAAGTGCAATACTCGGCCTGGCTAGCAAACGTAGTCTTGGCTCCAAAGGGCGATACCTGGCGCATGTGCGTGGACTACACTGACCTAAACAAGGCATGCCCCATGGATTCATACCCGCTGCCCAGTCCCGATCAGATGGTCGATGAGACGGCCGGGTGTGAATTGCTGAGCTTCATGGATGCGTTCAAAGGCTATCACCAGATCTTCATGGCCGAGGAGGACGAGGAGAAGACTTCATTCTTAACACCTGAAGGTACTTATTGCTACCGGGTAATGGCCTTTGGACTGAAGAACTCGGGCGCCACTTACCAGAGGATGGTCAACCGGCTTTTTAAGCCACTCCTCGGTAAGTCCATGGAGGCCTATGTGGATGACATGCTGATCAAGAGCCCGGGCGCGGAGAACCACCCGGCCGACATGAGGCTTTGCTTCGAGATTATGGCTAAGTACAACTTGCGTCTCAACCCCAAGAAATGCGTCTTTGCTGTAAAGACCGGTAAGTTTCTGGGGTTCATGGTGACCAAGCGTGG